CTCCTACTACGACTACTACTACGACTACTACGACTATTGCTGCTACTACTATTACTACGACTACTACTACTACTACTACTGCTGCTGCTGCTACTACTAGTACTACTACTACTACTACTACTACTACTACTACTACTACTACTACTACTACTACTACTACTACGAACGGCCAGCGCGGGCCACGCTAACTCCCATCGGGCTTCGCGACGGGCCACACTAACACGCAACGGGCCACACTAACACACAACGGGCCACAGTAATAACCGATCGCGGCGTTTTGGGGGGGGGGGCGCGCTCGGGCCCCAGGGCCGTCAGCAACTGGCCGCGACAGAACTGCGCAGGGAGGGGAAAGTGCTGCACCCACGAGCGGGGGAGGAGGGGAAACTCCAGGCCGAGGGAGGTACCAGGGCTCGAACGTATTTTTTGGAAAACAAGAAATACATAAACATAAGCTTTTGGCACTCCGCGCGGATTTCTTGGATCCGCGCTGGGTGGCGCCTCCGGCGTCGCCCCTAGGCGCGCTCCGCGCGCCAGGGAGGGGGGTCCAGCGCGAATCCAAGAAATCCGCAAGGAGCGCCAAAAGTTCATGTTTATGTGTTTTTTCCTTCTTCTAGTTTTGGCGCTTTCGTGGGCCGTTGTCGGTCCGACTTCTCGTTTGGCAGAAGCGGCGGGAGGAATACAGAGCGAGGGACAGCGGAAACGAAACGAAAAAGAGACGCACGTCTTGGGCCGATCCCTGAGAGGGCCAGGCAGAGGAGGATGCAGCAGCGTCAGAGCGCGGCAGCGGGAGGACAGCCTCATGAACGCGCTGCTGGCGCGCTACGGCGGGGTGGCCTTGGACCTGTCAACCGTCCTTCTGCGCCCTCTGGACCCGTACTGGGACGACATGGTGAAAGGATGCCATCGTCACGACCGCCACCCCGGCCCTTAGTGGGCCCCGGAAACGGCAGGGCCGTTTTTCCACCGTTTCCGAACAAGCGTTTCTTCAAAAAAATGGAAACGGCAAAGAAAAGGCGACCGGAAACTGCCAAAAAACGGCTCCAGGATCGGAACTGGAGCCGGAACCAGAGAAAAAAAGCGGCGACGAATCGGGTAACAAAAACGGCGTCGGAAGCGGCAAAAAACGGCAAAACGGAACCAGTATAAAAAAAACGGTGTTGTCGTTTCCATGGCCCACGAAGCCCCGGCCTCCCCCCTCTCCCCTGCCCTATAGATCCAGCTCCTGAGGCGTGGCAGCAGCGCTCGGCCCAGCGTTCTCTGGGGGCCAGCCCGGGCCTGTCTGGCGCAGTCCAGCCGAGCACGGTGTTGTCGGGCTTGGTCTGGCCTCGGTGCTTCCTGCATCAGGCTCGACAACTCGTCGACCCCGCTTGGCGGCCGGTAGCCCTGCCCGGAACGGCCTCTCGGGCGTTGTCCCCTGACCACCCCCCCTTCTCGCCAGGGGCGAGAGCGGAGGGCGAATGGGCAGGAGCGTGTCTCTTTACAGTTTGGGGGGCATAGTGGGCATTGTAGCCCCCGGCCCCCCCTCCCTCCCCTATAACGTAACGCCCTCCCCCCCCCCCCCCGTGCTCCAGGCATTGCCGCCGTGCGCATCGGGCACACGGCGGGGGGGAGGCGTTACATTATACCCCCACCCGGCGCCCCCCCCCGAAAAGAAAGAAACGCGCTCCAGTGGGGAGAAGGGGGTTTGACCGAACTAGGGGGCCACATGCGAACCCTGCGCCCTACCCCCCACGATTTCTGAGGGGGACGGTGGGGTTTACTTCGCTGGACAGCTCCCAAGCGAAGTGAACCCCACCCTCCCCCTCAGAAGTCGTGGGGGGTAGGGGTAGGGTTCGCATGTGGCCCCCTACGAACTGGTTGGTGCCACGATTGCCTCGCCAGGTGAGGCGAGCTGCGACCTTCCGTGGGGGCCTCGGACCAGGGTGTGCCGCTGGGGCGCGCCCGGGGCGCGGACCTCTGGGCGATCCGCCGCTCGATGGGGATCGGAGCGGTCGGCGGGGCTGAGAGAGATCCGGGAGAAGAAGAAACACACAGGCAGAATGAATCGTCGATCCCCAAGAAGATTTGGAAAATACGGGAAGTGGGGGGGAAGACGAGAACCCAGAAAGTGCGCAAAGATATGGGGACTCCTGGGATTTGTGTGTAGTTATTTGTGTACCTCCTGGCCCCTTCAAAGATCCAGGCCCCAGGGCCGCCAACCAGGACGAGTCGGCGTGGAACGGCCCGTCCCTTGGAGAGGGATCGTCGGGCGGGGCATGGACCGGGATACGTCGCTCTGGGTGCGAGGGCGTTCTGAAACCGCCGCGGCGCCCGACGCAGCCTCCAGAACCGCTTCCCTTGTCCTCGTCATCGTAATCGTTGTCGATCTGTGCGGGTCTGCTTGGTGTCCTGAAGTCCTGGCCTGAAGTCGGGCATGTCCCTCCACACGAGGAATACTTTCAAACGTAGTAAACAGTAGTCTGGGGACGAATTTTCTATCATTTCTCTCACTAGGTTTGGACATGTCTGATTCTTTTTTCCAGCTTTCGTCCAAAATCCTCTTGCAGGGGGGGGGGCATGCCCGCCCGACCCCTGGCCTCTCGTCCCTTGGGTCGATGGGCTCCCTGGAGCCCCGCAGCCCGAGGAGCTCGGGAGGCCCGCGGGAGGCCCGCGGGCCTCGCGGCGCGGGGCGGGGGTTCGGGCCGGCGGGGCAGAGCGGCAGCAGGCTCGGGAGCCCGGATCGGAGGTGGCCACGAAGGGGTTCGTTGGACCATCGGGGGCGGAAAAGGGGGGGGTGATGACTATAAGGGGGGGGGGGGGAGATCGTGGCGGGGGCCATGATATTTCCCCCGATCTCATGGCGCCTCGTCTTATTCCATTACGTCTCTGGCCCCCCCGCTGGGCCGCGCACATGCCGCCGGTCATGATTTGCGCCCCCCCTCTTGGACACCCCCCTCTTGGCCGCTCCCGAGACAAGGGGGATTCCGCCAGTCCCGAGGCCCCGAGGCCTGGCCTGATGCCCCACAGCTCCACCTGAGGCGCCCCAACAGCGATCCCGGATCGGAGGTGGCCACGAAGGGGTTCGTTGGACAAGGGGGATTCCGCCAGTCCCGAGGCCCCGAGGCCTGGCCTGATGCCCCACAGCTCAACCCGAGGCGCCCCAACAGCCGTCGAAATCACCCCTCTTGAACCTTCGGGACGTTCCCGACTTGAGACGGGGGTCAGCCAGGGCGCCAGATCTTGCAGGATACTGCAGGGCCAGGGGTGCATTCACCCAGGTTAGCTGTTGCAGGATCCTGCAGGAGCTTGCAGGATCCTGCAAGGCCTGACTGGCCCGAGTGTGCATTGACCCAGGTCAGTGGATCCCCGACAGGACCGGGCATCGGGTCGACCTGGATCGGGGGTGGTTCTGAGGAGGCTACCTCTACCGCGCGAATGGGGAGCCTTGGGGCCAAGCCGAGAGCACGGCGGTGTGGTTTCTCATGTCACGCCGCGAGGGTATTTTCACCACGGTGGTACGGAACCAGGTGATCGGCATGGGAGCGGAGAAGGACTCGTTTGCGTACGC